GCATAGTGCTGAAACATTTACATTTCTGTTGAATTTAATCTGACGTGCTCTTTTAACTTCAGTGTCATTTGAAAAGAATCCCATTCAGACAAGAATTTAAAATTAGCCACTATTTCAGCATCGATTTCATAGTTTTACTTTTTTGTGATTCTTTATTATTTCTCATTTAGATTGTATGGTGTTGACATCACTTTTATTTAGGAAAAATTGCAGTGTTTGTAAGTAATTAGGTAATATATTTAAAAAATTAAGCATAACTTTAATGTACCAATTGGTAAGTATATGTAAGAATGTTTAGGAGTGTATCATGATCCTTGTATTGATATACTACCATCTACCCACTTTTCCCCATTAGACATTTTATTATAAATAGCATGGCAACACATTTTTTATCAGTCTGTGTTCTGGGTTGCAAGTTACAAAGATGGACTTTGGCTAAAACAACAGAAAATGAATTTACTGGGAGTCTTGAGTAGTCCATGGACTTATGGGAAGTTTGGGGAACTAGGTTTGTACATCAGGCAGATGTCAGGGCAGCCATAAGCATAGCTTTAGGAACATTCTGGTTAGGGGCTGGCTGCTTCTGGCTCCTCGGTCACCAGACATTTGCTCCCCAAGAGATGCTTGTTGCTGCTACCATCACTATTCCCTATTAATCATTTCTCTGTATCTTTGCTTCTGTCCCTCAAGGTTCTGGGTGTTTGCTTCCGATTAGCCGAAGCTAGGTAATTTGTTTGTCTTCTTGACGTTAGAGGGTAGAGAGGAGCGTCTTGTGGTGATCTCTCCCCTGCCAAGACTCACATACTATTTGCTTTCACCGAAACAGGGACTATGAATGCAAGAGTCAAGAGGATAAAAATATAAAAGTCTTTGTGCATAAAGTTTTTATAATGCCTCTGATTATCACGTAGGGCTTGATTCCTGGTATTAGCATCATGAAATCAAAATATATGAAATTCTTAAGCTTCTTTGCCCTCTACTTGCCCCTTTATTCTAAATATTCTTCACAATTCTTCTGTCCTCTTTTTGCATTTATGCTTCCCTTTATGACCTTACCCATTTCCATGGCCCCAGGGGTTTGAACCACTTTTCATATGTGGGTAAGTCAAGCATATTTATTTCAATCCCAAGTCTCTATCTGGAACTTCACATAAGCATATTTAATTTCCTAACATAATCTGTGCATATCCTAGAGGGGATGTCTGCCCATTTCAAAAGGTCCCAAACAGTTCATCATCTTTCTCCTCAAACCTACTGCATCTATATAACCTCTGGTTTAGATGATGTGACCACCATCAGCTAGTTCACAAAATCAGGAACCTGTTTTTTTTTCTTGGTGAGGCCACAACAAAGTTTCTTATTTTTTAAGTTTCTTATTTTAAATAAATAAATACTTTTATTTTAGGTTCAAGAGTATACATGCAGGTTTGTTCTGTAGATAAATTGCATGTCACAGGGCTTTGGTGTACAGATTACTTCATCACCCTGGTAATACAAATAGTACCCAATAGGTAGTTTTTCAGTCCTCTCCCTCCTGTCACCCTCTGCCCTCAAGTAGGCCCCAGTGACTGTTGTTCCTTTGTTTGTGTCCATGTGTACTCAGTGTTTAGCTCCCACTTATAAATGAGAACATGCAGTATTTGGGTTTTGGTTCCTATGTTATTTTGTTTAGGATTATGGCCTTCAGTTGCATCTATGTTGCTGCAAAGGACATGATCTCATTCTTTTTTATGGCTGCATAGTATTCTATGGTGTGTATGTCCCACATTTTCTTTATCCAGTTTTATGATTTTGCTATTGTGAATAGTGCTGCAGTGAACATATGCATCCATGTGTCTTTTTTTTTTTCTTTGAGACAGGGTCTCACTCTGACACCCAGGCTGGAGTGCAATAATGTCATCATGGCTCACTGCAGCCTCGACTTCCTAGGCTCAAGTGATCCTCCCACCTCAGCCTCCTGAGTACCTGGGATTACAGGTGCATATCACCACATCTGGCTAAGTTTTAAAAATTTTTTGTAAAGATGACATTTTGCCATCTTGCTCAGGCTGGTCTTGAACTCTTGGGCTGAAGCCATATACCTGCCTTGGTCTCCCAAAGTGCTGGGATTACTGGCATGAGCCATTGGACCTGGACTGTATGCATGTGTCTTTATGTTAGAATGATTTATATTCCTTTGGGTATATACTCATGAATAATACTTCTGTTTTAAGTTCTCTGAGAAATTGCCACATTGCTTTCCACAATGGCTGAACGAATTTACATTCCTACCAATAGTGTATAGGTGTTTTCCTCTGTAGCTTTGCTAGTATCTGTTATTTTTTGATTTTTTAGTGATGGCCTTTCTGACTGGTGTGAGATGGTATCTTATTGTGGTTTTGATTTGCATTTTTCAAATGTTAAGTAATGTTGAGCATTTTTTTCATATGATTTTGGCCATGTGTATGTCTTCTTTAGAAAAGCATCTGTGTCGGCCGGGCGCGGTGGCTCAAGCCTGTAATCCCAGCACTTTGGGAGACCGAGGCGGGTGGATCACGAGGTCAAGAGATTAAGACCAACCTGGTCAACATGGTGAAACCCCGTCTCTACTAAAAATTCAAAAAATTAGCTGGGCATGGTGGCGTGTGCCTGTAATCCCAGCTACTGAGGAGGCTGAGGCAGGAGAATTGCCTGAACCCAGGAGGCGGAGGTTGCGGTGAGCCGAGATTGTGCCATTGCACTCCAGCCTGGGTAACAAGAGCAAAACTCCGTCTCACAAAAAAAAAAAAAAAAAAAAAAAAAGAAAAGCGTCTGTGTCTTTTGCCTACTTTTTAATGGGGTTGTTTGTTCTTTGCTTGTTAATTTGTTTAAGTTCCTTATAGATTCTGAATATTAGACATTTGTTAAATGCATAGTTTGCGAATATTTTTCCCATTCTTTAGACTGTGTTTACCCTATGGATAGTTTCTTTTGCTGTGCAGATGTTCTTTAATTAGGTCCCATTTGTCAATTTTTGTTTCTGTTGCAATTGCTTTTGGCATCTTCATCATGAAATCCTTGATAGGGATTATATCCAGAATGGCATTTTCTAGGTTATCTTCCAAGGGATTTATAGGTTTAGGTTTTACTTGATTTTTTTACATGGTGTAAGGAAGAGGTCTGGTTTCAATCTTATGCATATGGCTAGCCAGTTATGCCAGCACCATTTATTGAACAGGGAGTCTTTTCCCCCATTGTTTGTTTTTGTCAACTTTGTTGAAGATGAGATGGTTGTAGGTGTGTGGCTTTATTTCTGGGCTCCCTCTTCTGTTCTATTGGTCTATGTGTCTGTTTTTGTACTAGTACCATGCTGTTTTGATAACTGTAGCCTTGTAATGTAGTTTGAAGTCAGGTAGCATGATGCCTCCAGATTAGTTCTTTTTGCTTAGGATTGGCTTGGCTATTTAGGCTTTTTTTTTGTTTCATATGAATTTTAAAATAGATTTTTCTAATTTTGTAAAAAATGTCATTGGTAGTTTGATAGGGATAGTTGTGAATCTGTAAATTGCTTTGGGAAGTATAGCCATTTTAGCAATATTGATTCTTACAATCCATGAGCATGGAATGTTTTTCCATTTGTTTATGTCATCTCTGGTTTCTTTGAGCAGTGTTTTGTAATTCTCATTGTAGAGGTCTTTCACCTCCCTGGTTAGCTGTATTCCTAGGTATTTTGTTCTTTTTATGGCTGGAATTGTGTTCTTGATTTGGTTCTCAGCTTGGATGTTGTTGGTGTATAGAAATGTTATTGAATTTTGTACACTGATTTTGTATCCTGAAACTGTGCTGAAGTTGTTTGTCAAATTTAAGAGCTTTTGGTCAGGGACTGTGGGGTTTTTAGATATAGAATTATGTCATCTGCAAACAGAGATAGTTGAACCTCTTCTCTTTCTGCCATTTATTTTTTTTCCTCTTTCTGGATTACTCTAACTAGGACTTCCAGTACTATGTTGAATAGGAGTGATGAGAGTGAGCATCGTTGTCTTGAGGAACTTGTTCTATGTCCTTGATCTTCACATCTCCCTTTACTCTTTCATAAAATTATCTCCAGGTTCTGTAAATCATACTTCCTATGTATCTCTGGAATATGTGCCATATTCCCAGAAAACATTCCTTAGTTCAGTCATCCATTACTTTTGTTCTAGGTTGTAGCTATTGCTTCTTAACAACTCCTGGGCTGAAACCATACACCTGCCTTTCTGCCTCCACTCTTCCTCTCAGTAGTTCCAGTTTTAAAATACAGACCTGATTATGGTGTTTCTTGGATTAAGGTCCTATTTTCTCCAGCCCCTTCCTGCCCACAGAGGTTAGTTGATCCTCTCTGGTTCCCATGGTGCCCAGGGCTTACCAGCTCTCTTCACACCTTAAAATTGTTGCTGCCAAGAGAGAACTCCTCGAGGGCAAAACCTTGTGATATTCATATTGAATCACCAGTACTTAACATCATACGTATGTACAGTAGGCATTCAGTATGAGATTTTCGAATGAATGTAATATATAGGTTTTGTAAGGTAATATGGAACAGATATTAGTTGAATGAAAGATGATCAATTAAGTTTGTGAAACCCAAGCAACTGATTTTATAGATGCCATGTTACTTTTAAGGAACAAAGTTTGAATCTACCATGTCCCGTTACAGGGTAAACCTGATTTTTTCCTACTTAACATGTCACAAAACAGTTTTTGAATGTAGATAAATAAGAATGTTATAAGAACCAGGCTGTGAAACGAAGAGATTTGTTCCACAGGGGAAAAATCCCCTTAAAATGTTAAAAGATACTTTATACAGGTTGGCAGATAACAAAACCAGAAACTATTTCATATTATTCTTTTACCAATGTTAACTCTGTCTCTCTCTCTCTGTCTCTCTCTCTCTCTCTCTCTGTGTGTGTGTGTGTGTGTGGTCCTGGGTACTGTTATAGCCATCTGAATATTTGGCTAATATATAGCCAGGGAATGACCTGGTGACCCTTGTTTCCTCTTAGGGTGATCAGTCTGGCTGGGTGGTCCCGGGAGAAGGATATGCGCTTGCAGTCAGCCAGCATCAGCAACTTGCTGAAATTAATATCAAACTCCAAGAACTCTCTGCAGCCTCCCCAGTGGTTTCCAGCTTTTCTCCAAGACTTGAACATCAGAATAATCAGGTATTTGAAGAATCCACAGACTGTTCAAGTTAATGTGTGCTAAAGCTAGTTCACATAATTTTACAATCTGCTTGTTAACCAGTTGCTTTTTCCAGTGATCGTTGTTTCATGACTGTGTGTATTTTCCTTTGGTTACTTCCACTTTCTCCTCATTTTTCTTTGATATGGTAATTTTCTAGGATGGAGTCACTGAGGAAATTTTTATTCTTATATTATTATATCTGTATGATTGAAGCTAATTCTCCATCATGATCAAGAGAGCGTGGAGGGAAGAAAGCTAATATGGCACTCAAAGGACTCCTTTGAGAGCCTTATTTTACTTTGTCCCTTTGGCACTAGGTATTAGCCGTGGCAGCCATTGTCCTTTACTCTGCCACATTCTTTTAGCTCCTGTAATTTAACATCGAGCAGTGAAGCTCATTATGTTGACTTCTCTCCTATAAGAGTTTTGAAATAAGTGTGTTTCTTCTCTCAGTAGTTCCCTCAAATGTTCTTTTACAAAGCAGGTGTGGTGGTTTACACCTGTAATGCCAGTACTTTGGGAGGTAAAGATGGGTGGATCACTTCAGGTCAGGAGTTCGAGACCAGCCTGGCCAACATGGTGAAACCTCATCTCTATTAAAAACACAAAAATTTACTGGGCGTGATGGTGCTTGCCTGTAATCCCAGCTATTCGGAAGGCTGAGGCAGAAGAATCGCTTGGACCTGGAAGGCAGAGGTTGCAGTTAGCCAAGATCGTCCCACTGCACTCCAGCCTGGGCGACACAGCGAGACTTCCTCTCAAAAAAAAAAAAAAAAAAAAAAAAAAAAAGGCATATCAGAATATCAGCTTTAGAAAAGTAAATTTCTCTCCCACCCCTACATTTTAGTACTTCATGGAATCTGGTTTGGGTTTAGGTGGTAGACTGAAGAGAAAATATCTGACTGTATAAGAGATTAATAACCCTCTACTCTAGCAGCTTTGTAAAAGGTTCACCAAATCATTTTCTGTACAATTATAGATGGCTGTCATCTTCTTGGACCATCCAAAGATTTAAGTATCAGTAGCCTATAGGTGATCTTTCTGTTTTATAGTAAGCACTTCCTTTAAGCTATCAGTTGAGTGTTAGGGATCCAGCTTCATGCCAGTTGAAGCAACTTCGGGGAAAGGAACAGTATGAAGGTGTTCCAAGGTAACACTTTTGTGACTAGTTATATTTCTAATGGACAGGTGCAGCTGCTCCTGACCCATTAGATAGCAGTAATGGTGTGGTTGTTCCCACTATTGATTTGAAATTCTGCAGTGAGATAAAAATTTTTTTAAAGCGGAGATAATTAGAATCTTTGTCCTCACTCAAATGTATCCCAGGACTCTGTTTTTAATTTTATTTTATTTTTTAATTTTTGAGACGAAGTCTCACTCTGTTGCCAGGCTGGAGTGTGACCTTGGCTAAGCTCACCACAACCTGTGCCTCCCGGGTTTAAGTGATTCTCCTGCCTCAGCCTCCTGAGGAGCTGGGACTACAGGTGCGTGCCACCGCGCCCAGCTAATTTTTGTATTTTTAGGAGAGACAGGGTTTCACAGTGTTGGTCAGGATGGTTTCTATATCCTGACCTCATGATCTGCCTGCCTTGGCCTCTCAGAGTGCTGGGATTACAGGTGTGAGCCACCACGCCTGGCCGTATCCCAGGACTTAGGCATGAGTTAGGCTAGTTTATGTTACTGAATTCTGTTTTTCATAAAGGAGGAACCCTAGATGAGATAATAAAATGTTTCAGAGATACTCTTTGTTCTTTTCATGTTTCAGTTGATTTTTTTTGTTGTTAGATTTCAAGGGTAGCTGAAATATCAGAGATGAACTATGGTCTTAAATAATAGAAAATGTCCTTTTTGTGGTTGTCAAATGAAGTGAGGTCTGTGAAGTCTGAGACACTGATATAGCCATCCAAAAGGTATATTTTTGGCAAAAATATAGATGAGAATAACCTGGTGACCCTTGTTTCCTCCTCTTCTTGAAAGAGACAGATAATTCAGAGATTTGTTTGTCCCTTAGGACTTCAAATAAAAAGCGTGAATATAGTCAGATTTTTCTCATTATCAAGTCAATCACATTTTCAGAGTTCACATTTTCAGATAAGATTTTTTAAAAGTAATGAAAAGAAAAGCCAGTACCTTACATTTCTGGTACATACTGAGATTATGTGTTTTTATGTGAAACAACATATATTTGGAGAGAAAAGGGAAAAGAACATTTTGGGACTCCCATTGGATGCAGAAACAAAAATATACTGTAGTTGTTAGAAAGAAATTTTATGTGCCTTGCATGCAAAAAAAGAATATCTTTTGAGCTTTTGTTCAATTTCCCTTTGGCATTTCTTCATTTCTAACTAAAACCAGCATTGCACATTGAATTTTCAAAGCAGAAATGCTAACATGGCAAATTATTTTAGGGATATTATTTTGGATTGGACTACTTTTTGAATAAATACACTGTATCTTGAATAAACCCTGTATCTATTTAGTTGATAAATGAGTTCCAGTCAGTCGCTAACCCCCAAATATTCACAGTTCATATTCATTTTATTTTTAACTCTTCTGAAAACCATTAACTCACCAGTGATTTTTCTCTGTGCTCCTTAAGAAAGAATTTCTTTTAAGTGGAATGTAAATTTCTGCTTTTGAACAATTGAGTCAGCATATATTGAATGTTCCTGGGTGTAAAGAATTGCAGAGAACTTAAAGATGAGTCAGGCAAATAAAATACTTTGGAATCAAAAATTCTCACTTCAAGTTTGGCGCTAGCATTTACTAGTTCTGTGGACTTGGGAACTAATTAGAAGCTCTCTAAACCTCATTTTCCTTATTTATAAAATAATACTAATATTTTTTAGGGTTCTTGTAAATAGTAGCTGAGTTAATATACACAAGGTATTTAGCACAGTGTCTGACACAGTACTCAGCCAATAATATTATTGTTATAAATGATATAAAGAACTTATTTCCTTATGAGAGGTATTGAGTATACATAGAAAACTGTGGACAAGAAAGCATAGGCAAGTGCCATAGAAAACCTTTTTTTTTCTTCAAGAGACAAGGTCTCGCTCTGTCACCCAGGCTGGAGGACAGTGGTGCAATCATGGCTTGCTGCAGCCTTCACCTCCTGGACCCAAGCAGTCCTCCAACCTTACTCTCCCCAGAAGCTGGGACTATGGGTGGACGCCATCACTAGCTAATTTCTAAATGTTTTGTAGAGATGTGGTCTCACTGTATTGCCCAGGCTGGTCTTGAACTCCTGGCCTCAAAAGATCCACCTGTCTCAACCTCCCAAAGTGCTGGGATCACAGGCATGAGCCAACATCCCAAAGTGCTGGGGTTACAGGCTCATAGAAGGCTTTAAGTAGAGTGCTGTGGTGGTTCAGAGGAGAGAGAGAGAGAGCACATCCAAGGAATATTCAGAAAGTCTGTTTCCGTAAGTGAGGGGCAGGAGGAGGAAGAGGAGCTAGGGAAGGAGGCAGAGGGATCAGAGACACATAAGAAGACTACCATTATGTATCATGAGGCTGAAAACTGGTGGCCTACAGCAGTGGTCCCCAACCATTTTGGCATCAGGAATTGGTTTCCTGGAAGACAATTCTTCCACGGACCCAGGGAGGGATGGTTTTGGGATGATTCAAACGCATTACATTTATTGTGTACTTTATTTCTATTATTACTACATTGTAATACATAATGAAATAATTATGCAGCTCGCCATAATGTAGAATCAGTGGGAGCCCTGAGCTTGTTTTCCTGCAACTAGATGGTTCCATCTGGGGGTGATGGGAAACAGTGACAGATCACCAGGTATTAGATTCTCATAAGGAGCACACAACCTAGATCCCTCACATGGGCAGTTCACGATAGAGTTTGCACTCCTATGAGAATCTAATGCTGCTGCTGATCTAACGGGAGGCAGAGCTCAGGTGGTAATGCGAGTGATAGGCCACAGCTGCAAATACAGATGAAGCTTCACTTGCGCCTGCTGCTCACCTCCTGCTGTGGAGCTGCTGTTCCTAACAGGCCACCTACCAGAACCATCCATGGCCCGGGTGTCAGGAAGCCCTGGCTTACAGGACAAATTAAGCTCCCAGATGGGTTTCCTTTTGCTTACAAAGGATTTAAAGATATTTTTTAGCCAACATTTAAAAATTAGGTGAATTCCTATAGAAATCCAAATTTCTAGTTCTGTCTTGAAAAATTAAAATTAGAAACTATGCCAGCATTAGACCTAAATTCTCGCTTGGCAATTACTGGATTGAGCTGAATAGCGACTGCTCTTTCTGCAGGGCACAGATTCTCCAGTTTGCTTCAGTTACTCACCACTCTTTCTATGGCAGGCCCTGAGGCCCTCTTCATGCATTTATGTTACTTGTCCAGCCCTTGCAGAGACCATCAATACATTTTTGAATGCCTGCTTATTTCTAGGAGACACTACAGTGGCTGATGTAGTATCCAGACTAGAATGAAGCTTTGTATCCAGACTAGAATGAAGCTTCATCTCTGACCTCGAGGCAGCTTGTAGGATACTGGAGGATATGATGTAAACATAAAACAAGTTGTGGAGTGACTGTGAATGAAACAAGAACCACCACCGGATGGGCACTGATTGGATGAGAAGCACGGAAAGCGTGTGCTGCGAGAGCACAGAGAAAGGAAAGGTTATTTGGTGAAGGTGTGATATTTTAAAAATTCCTTTAAAGATTTCTTTTTGTTGGTCAAGAAAACAGTTTCCTGAACAGGTTGAAACAGACTTTCTGACTTATGTGTGTATGATAACTATAAAGTGGTAAGCTGGTGTGCACATAGATTTAGGATGATAAATGCGGTCTAGTCAGAATAGTTTGAAGAACTCTAGGAATATGGCTCAGAGATGAAGAAGAAGGTGTTGGTCTCTGTGGAAAGGACAGATAAGAAGTCTTCTTTTCCTTATGGGCTGGCTGATTGTGATGTTCTCATATAGATGCTCTGGCCTAGCACTTAA